TGATTCAACATATTAAGTAAATAGTACTACAGAATAGTTTCAACAACTTTTTTCCCAGACAAATACGCCTTTCAAAATCTTTTTTCACTTGTGTAACTACATGTATCGTCATCAATAGGGCCATTTATACGAGAAAAATAAGCCAAGGTTTACACAAGCCACAAACAAGCCGCGATACCATTTATATGAGTGGTTCCACGTCTTATAAGCCATGGCTTATTTAAGCCAAGCTCAAAACCCTCGTCTTACACAAGCCAAGACTTATGTTATCCACAGCTTGTGTTGGACGTGAACTGGTCAAAATGTAATGAACCATTTATATGGTAAGTTCGCCTCTTATGTAAGCTGCGGCTTGTGTAATCTACAGCTTATTCTCCTTGTATAAATAGCCCTATTGTGACACTGTTGTTGTTATAGTTATTGTTTGGTTGAAATGGTGGTCAATTCAACAACAACAACAACAGCAACACACACTTTTTTACCAAAATAGAAAAACTCTTGGTTTAAAAAAAGAGAATTGAAACAGAAAATTCCGTTAATTTACCCGGAATAACTTAATCCCTAAGAAAGTTGTACCTGGCAACAGCACCTTCCTTGACCACACTGTACTCCCTATTCGTGAAAAACTTACCATCTCAGTTTGTTCCAAAACGCCAGGCTTTTTAGTTAAATTGCAGAATAGATATTCATATTTTAATGGAGCTAAACCTTTTCAAATACCTCAAATTCCTCCTGGGACGGACCATTTTCGGATAACAATGCCCGCTTTTTGAGCTCTTGGACGGATTCCGCAAGGAACAGTTCTTGTAGAAGTAAAAAGATTCCAGGTGATTCAGGTGACGTCTGAAGGAGGCAAATAAGAGCGCCATCCCAAGAGGCTCGACATAGATAATGAGCGTAGAGCTTTTCTTTTTTTGTAAGTCCAGAAAAAGCTGTTCTACAATCTAGAAGATTTATATCAACCTCCCGAGAAATAATGTATTGAGAAAAGTCTTTCTCTTTCAAGTCGGAAGCCATGTTGATTACCGAAAGGAGGCTGGCACGAGCTCAAGTTGCTCAGCGGATTACTGTTTCATAATTTCAAGATGGCGGACACTAACGAGCAACTTCGACATCCTAAAGTTGTGTTTATTTTGAGCGGAAAACGAAAATCAGGGAAAGATTATGTCACAAGCAAACTTACAGAGGCCTTTGGCCATGACTGCTGCGAAATTATCAGGCTTTCTGGACCTCTGAAACATGAGTACGCGCGACAAAATGGTCTTGATTTTGACCGCCTGCTTGATTCAACAAACTACAAGGAATTTTATCGTCAAGACATGATTCGCTGGGGAGAAGAAAAAAGAAACGCTGATCCTTCGTATTTTTGCAGATTAGCTATTAAGGTGACACTTTCTGGAGTCTCCAAAGAAAATGACTCATTACAAAAACCAGTATGGATCGTGTCTGACGCACGAAGAAAGTCAGATGTTCATTATTTTAGGGAGACTTACGATAAAGTTGTACACGTGCGGATAACTGCTACTGAGGAAGTAAGGAGATCACGAGGATGGATATTCACAGCAGGTGTTGATGATGCTGAGTCTGAATGTGGGCTTGATGATGAGGAATTTGATGTACTTATTCAAAATGATGGTCACGATCATCACAAGCTTAACAGTCATATTAATTCTTTACGAAAATATATTTACTCGTCTAACTAGTCCTTAAAACGAGAGAAAACTTTCTTGAAAATAGAGTTACATTTTCTGGTAAAGGTGAAATTTATAATTTGGAAGCAAAGCACAAATGCACATCTCTCATCATGTGTTGAGCTACATCAAAGTGAAACTTTCAAGATTCAAGTTAAAAATTCCAAACTTACGCTATCCGCAATCTTTTTTTTTCCTTAGCTGGATTGTCGAAAAGTGTTTCTACTGCCGTTTCTCATACAATTTTCTTTTTTGCTTTCATTTTTTGTGCAACTGACTTATAAAAATTAGGGAATCCTCTAAGCCAAGGTAGAAACTGGAGTCTAAACAGCTCCATTTACTGGCTCTAATGAGCTGTTTCTACTTTTTAAACTTTTTGCAAAAATTAATCAAAGAACTGAAGAGTACTCATGCATCTCTTCAGTACAACATAATCCAAAAACTTAATACAGTGTTAATGTTGTCGTTAATTTGATCTCAGTTAAATTTTGATTTTAACTATGGACATGCATGGTTTGTTTTCTTCCGGTAAGTTAACTTTCGTTTTCAATTCAGTCCTAGTCAATAATTATTATTGCCTAGGGATAAACTGAAAAAATGAAGCTAACTGAAAGAAAAACAAACCACATATATTTGAAATCAAAAACTAACTACACTAAACTTCTGGATGTAAGCGTTTCCTCTTCCTAAACTTATTCCTTCGTTACTACAGATCATGAGGCCAAGCTTCAAGAATGATCTTTAATACCCAAGTTTGATCCTAGTAGTCACAATTAAAGCTAGTCATATGGCTTGGCTGTTAAGACGCTATCATATCTCTGGGCTACAGGATCTGACCAGTGTGTGAATGTCCTGGGTTCCATCCTATTGGAGAACTCACAATTTTTCACCAATCACCAATGACAACAACAGTACTAACATTTTTCTCAAGAATTTCATCACCTATCAACTCTTGTTTCAAAAAGAACAGTAAACTAAGCTCCCAAAAATGATTACATTGTTGTAGAGTAAAAAAAATATGAAAAATCGCAAAAATAAATTAAAAAAGAAAAATAATAACAAATTTCTTTGTTTATCAAGAAGTTACAATGAATTTGAACTTAAACTCTTTTAGAGTCAATCAAACAGGATAAAGTAATCAGGTCATCTTTTTTTTTTTTTTCATAATACAACTAGCCAAAATGTTTAATTAACAAAGAATCAAATAATAAATTAAGCTCTTTGTTGATCCTTGTAACAAGCCGAACTGCATTCAAAAATATTCTTAGTATGATGTAGTTGTGACCACTTCGAGTCTCTTGTCGCACTTGTTTCACTTGCTCTAATTACATTAACTCTGTAAGTGCCTGTACAATTATGTTTATAATTATTTGTAATCTGTGTGCCTCACAGGAACTTGGAAAACATACAAAAACATAGGGAATATACACAGAGGCAAAACCTCAGCACCAGTCTCCCTTTAAAGCTTTTGTGCAAGTTGTTTTCAATAAGATAAGTTGACTAAATTTAATTTCCTCAATTTGTCATACAGGCACTCGGGGTGAACGATTAAGTTTCACCATTGGTACTCTAAAACATTACTGAACATTTAGTGTCCTGTTCAATAGATATTTGATATTTGATTTGACAAATCTAATGTGTTGGCATAGCTCTACAAGGAACCATCCAATGTCACTGATTGACTATTACTAACACACAAAAAAAAATCAAAACCAACCAACAACCAGCCACACACAACATGATTCTTTATAGAGGCATATTATGACATTAGTATGAGCTTTTTAGCTCATCTTGAATGCCTCCTCATTTAATGGAAATCTTAAGAATACAACAACAGTAAGAAGGCTGTTGAGCACTCATGAAGAAATTGAACTGATATATTAACTGGGAAATTGGCCAAGATATCACTAAACTAAACTGATTTCTTAACCACAAGGCTACTCATTTCCAAGAAGCAGTGGCTCTAATGATATACCTACTAGTTATTTAAGTTATATAATATATTAAAAGATATTCACCAAGCATTCAACTACAACAAATTATTGTCCACAGACAGAAGGTAGCCCAATAGGGGAGCTATCCTGAAGTGGTTTGTCCACCATTACTCCAGCTGAGCTGACTACACCGCAGTTATTTCTCAAAAATAATGGCCTGGTCACTCACTTCCGTAATTTTATTGTGACTGACGGGAAAATGTATCTGCATTTGTTCAAATAGTCTTCTCTAATCCAACCAAACCTGCACTGACTTCCCACAGTTGTTTCGCTGCTTCGTCATCTTTTCCTTGATCAGCAGGTTCCTTCGGTTTGCAATCACTGTAATATAATCCAGACTCAACATCATCAGCTACAGCGCAATGAATTGTTGTCTGTGCACCTTGACGAGGTGTCTTGAAGAACAACCAAGAGATAGGAGCAAGAGTAAGGGATGCCACTTTCGACTTGGAAAAGGACGTATGGCGAGCTAACTCGGTTTTCACAACGCCGGGATGTACAGCAGTGACTAAAATATCGGTATCTTCAAGTCTTTTGCTCAACTCGCGAGTAAAAAGGACGTTGGCAAGCTTGCTCTGAGCGTAGGCGGATCCCGGACTGTATTCGTGCTCGCTCCTTAAATCATCAAAGCGTATTTTCCCTCTAACATGAGCCAAGGAACTGACATTAATAATGCGACTTGGCTTTGATCTTTCCAGCATATCTAGCAGGAGGTTTGTAAGAAGGAAGTGGCCCAGGTGGTTGACGCCAAATTGCATCTCGAAGCCGTCCTCAGTTTTCCAATATGGACACCGCATGATACCCGCATTGTTGATAAGAATGTCTAATCGATCTTCACTTTGGTGAACTTCCTCGGCAAAATTTCTCACGGACTTTAGCGAAGCAAGGTCGAGCTCCTTCACAATCACCTTTTTATTGCCGGTCGTCATTTTGATTTCCTCGGCAGCTGTGTGCGCCTTCTCAAGATTTCTGCAAGCCATGATGACACGAGCCCCCTTTCGGGCCAAATCCAGAGCAGTTTCTCGTCCGATTCCTGTGTTTGCCCCAGTGACGATCACTGTTTTACCGTCTAGTTTCGTTTTATAGTTGCACACTCCACCGGAAAAGTAATTTCTCAACAAGAAGATGCCACCAGCACAAGCGGCAACAGTTGACAGAGGTCCAGCTATCTTCCAGACACCCTCTGGAACCGCCATGTTGAATAATGTTGACATTTCCACGCGCGATTGCCCGCTGACATTACCGTCTGCAGACTCATCTGCAGCTCAAGATAGGTCCGCAAGCGCAAATCAACATGTCGTCATTGCCTACAACTACAAGAATTCCTTTTAAATATAAAATAATTTCCTGTACTCAAAGCACAATTAAAAAATCTTATTAAGAGTGGAATATTTTGTTCGGTCCAAACGAACTTTCAGAAAAGGAATTCAACAGAATCCCTTTTGTTTTTTTCTTTGTTATCTAAATTTTGAAGCCCTATTGCAGTGGGGTAAACTGCACTAATTTGCACAAAAAAAAAAAACACAAAAACAAAGAAGGATTCTGGTAGTTGTAGTCAAATGACGCCATCATGCAAATCGTCTCTGATCAAAGTTTTTTGTTTTGATTTGGCACTTTCGAGCTTCGAATAGATCGTTTTCACGTGACGTCATTACTTTCTACAATCCAAAACTAAATAGCCACCAAAGTTTTTATTCCCATTAGGCATGAGAGGCAGTATATTTACATCTGTTTACAATTTTCCAGCTCAGTAGCCTGCTTCGTTTCGAAACCAGAGCATTTTGAATTTCACGGTTGTGGAGGTGCGTGACACAAAGCTACGATCGAGTTTTATTGAAAGATATATACTTATCTCATGCTTTTGGGCCTTTTTAGAAGTTAGAGCACGAGGAAAAGTGCTTATGTAAAAGCTTGTTTGGTCAGTACTGATAATCAGTCGCCTAGATAGCCAAAGTAAGTTCCAGATGTTTACACTATTTTCCGGCCGCAGTATTGGTTTACCACGGAGGTACACCAACATGGCGTTTTCTGTACTGGGCTCTGTAAATTTCTGCGAACATTTTGACGAATATCTGAAATTTGGGGAAACACACAGGCCTAAAACTTAAAGAAGTGTCTTATTTAGTTATCTTCTATAACATCACAATTTCTTAGCTTTTTCCACTCGATGGTTTTCGATTTATTTTTTTATTGCCTGACAGTGAAAACGATCTATAGCTCTTCCTGATTTTAGAAGAACTGCCTCCTTGCTCCTGATATCTGATAACATTCACCATTTCTCATCAAAGCGCTGAGCAAACCCGCTATCAACGAGGACGATACGAAATGACGTTAAAGGTGGTGAGGAGGAAAACATCGGCAATACTATTGTTGACCATTGTTCGATGCAGGTCATCTACATCTTATTTTTCTCAGCAAAGAAGCTAGTTCGACGTGGCAGTTGAACCACGCGATTACATAAATTAAAGATATCTTACTGCCAACTAATTGTCCAATTTCTCAGTTTCGACTCGCCTAATTTTCATCTTTAAATGAAGGATTAAAAAGCACCAACTATAGGGTGGGTTGTTCGAAAGCCGGTTAACGCTAACCCAGGATTTACTGAAAGCTAACAGAAGTATTCATTTTCATTGTATAAAAATGTTTTCACTGCTTATGTTTTGTGTAGTTTGAGATTATCCAAACTCAAAACTGAAGGACAACTGTAGAAACAGAAAACCTCATCGAAAAGTTACAAAACTGAGATCAAAATTCTCGCCAATCCTGGGTTAACCCAATTGGGCTTTGAACAAGCCTCCATGTATTTTAAGCTGCGACCCACTCTTTTCAATTCCTAATTCCTTGTCCTTTGGGTTCAATGTACAGATCCATTTGAAAAACACCAAACGTGGCAAAAGCAATTCCGCTCACGCATAGCCGAATTTCAACTGAATCGAAGATTTCATCGGGATAAGTGTCTGAAACAAAAGAAAGTTCTTTTAACTGTTGGAACTAAAGAAACTAAAATTTACTCTAGAAAACACTTTAAAAACACTCTCAGGTTTGCAACATTTCAAAATACGAGTTTTCAACTGTTCAAACTATAGCCTTCGATGGGTTAAATGGTCAAAAAGAAAGGCGGTGTAAAATATAGTCCCAGAAATATTATAATAGTGCAAAAAAGTGGAAATAAAGGGAAAGATTTTTGCGCCATAGAATACTGTATTGTGCTGAGAGTGGCAAGAACAGCATTGGAGATTATAATTGTGTGCCAGTATTTCAAAAAGGATTTCTGAAGCCATAATTGCCTTTGTCAATAATCGCAAAACGAAATCTTTTCAAAGTAGATGACATAGTGATCACACCATGCATGGTTCGGCCGACATCACGTTCGCCCTGTGTTCTTATTTCCTGCGGTATCAAAGGGTCTTTTTATCTTATCTTTTTTCCCGATTCTCAGATTTTATTTAGATTCTTTTCAGCATCTTTTTGCATTTTACCCACCGAAGACTGTGGCTCAAACAGTCGAAAGCTCGCCTTTACTACAAGCCATGTCCTGGCTGCAGTCCTTCGATATTCCGGTTCATAAAATAAATTCATTGTTCAATTGTTCACGCTCAGTGATATTTCTGCGGTATTTCATGGACCGTAATTTATCGTGCCAGTAGACGGCAAAACGAGCTTTTGATTCAGCTCGTGAATATTCGCCAGGATAAAAACAGCTGTCACATATTGAATGTTATCACAAAAAAAACCTCAGTAAAATGAAGAGCTCTGTTCAAACAAACTTAAGGAGCGAAAAGATTACAAAATTGTTCTGCTTTTGCATAGAATAAAACACGGTTAAAAGGCATATATCAAGAAAAAAATATCTTACGGTATATAAAATCAGTACTTTTAGGTAACATTTTTGTCCCATTTATAACCGCAAAAATAATACTTTTCGTTACAACATTACTTATTTTAATTGTTGTATGTCTTAAGGACATTTAAAATCTGCCATAACATTTTAGATTAAAGTGTTTAATTGCCCCAAACAATCTTGTCAGCGCTCTTAAAACGATTGGTTAGCTATATTTAAACATCCTGCAATTCTTCGTTTCACGGTGATTTAACCAATAAGTGACCCTCTTTTAATTTAAGACAACCGGAATAAGAAAACTGAATACACGAAAGTCATTTATGTCGACGCGAGATAGTTTGTTTCGCAAAGAAATGATAAGACTTAAAGTCGGCGATTGCCTCATCTCAGTCAAGAGAGTATGAAATCGTCCATCTCGTCATAATCTATTTTTTAACTGCTAAGAACAACGGAATAAAAAAGCCAATAAATTGAAATTGTTTCCAAGGAGTTGGTTTGGTTAAATATTCATTACAAACGTGACCGTCCCTAAAAATCACAAGGCAATTTTTACTGATGATATCTCACACAGAGATACTGTCCGTGTGTCAATATTTTCTACCAACGCAGGACATTTGCATTTTAGCCCGAGGTAGACTCGATCATCTTAGCTTCATATCGCCCTCTTCAAGAACACTTGGCAGAATACATCAGAAAATATCAGCGTCGTCAAGAAGATGGTCTTTGGGGGGCCAATAGAATGCCGCAATTCAAGTTCACCTCAAACGCTTTCCTTCATCACATCTGCAATGTCTTCGCTTCTTATGTTAACCACAGTTCCTGGAAATCTTCTTATTTGTGTGGCAGTTGTCAAAGATCCGTTCAAGACATTGCGTTCGCCCTTCAATCTCTTCTTGCTAAACATTTCAGCTGCTGACCTTGTAGTTGGCTTAGCAGTGCTTCCTCTCTCCATAGCTTACCACTCGCTGGAGGGAATGGGTTTAATGTACGATGCATTGACAAAAGCGTTACATCTTTCTTTCTTCATTTCATGTACAGCTTCTGTCCTGGGCATCGCAGCGTTGAGTATAGATCGCTATGTTTGTATTACTTCACCCATGAAATACCGCTTGAAGCTGAAATCCTTACAAGTCAAGAGGGCGTCTTTAATCATTTGGCTGATCTCCGTGATTTGCCCTTTCACGTATCTTTATGTAGACTTTATAATATACACGTTGGTGTTTGCCAATGGAACCCTTCTTTTTACATTACTCGTTTTGGCGTTTGTAAACCACAAGATCCACCACAGTCTACAAACTCAGCGAAAACAACTTCAGACCCTTGTGGATGGTGAAAAGTTGAGAACGAGTTTATCACAGCGTGATGCCCGAGTCACAAAAACATTTCTGTTCTTCCTTGGCTCTTTTCTCGTCTTAACTTTACCTCCCTTAACATTTAGCTATGTGTTAAACTTCTGCTCTTCTTGCAATTGCCGAACAATTCACATCTTCAGAGATTTTCAGTTTCTTTCTATATTATTTCCCAGCTCGGTGAATCCTTTTATTTACGCCTTAAGGCTTCCAAACTTCAGAAGAGCCATAACAGTGATATGCAGAAAAATTTTAGGGAATCGATTTGCGACTAAAAACCCTCAATTTCCTATTTTGGATTCTAGCTCTACTGAAGCTTTGAGTAGACATAGCCCTAGAAGACCATCGGTCTTGCCTGAGCTTCGATCAGTTGATGAAACACTTGTCATTGAGACAAACGCAAGAATTGACGTGACAACGAGACTCAGCCGATGGAGAGCAAACGCCAAAGTATCGTTTGATGTTAATCAGTTTGATATCAACACTTTGCATGTTGACAGCAAGTTTCATTGTGAAGAGCGAACTGCAAACAGAAGGGAACATGGAATATCACAGTTTTACAGAGTCACCACGACTATATAAACAAACTGCAAGAGGATGTTGTACACAGATTTTTATTGCTGATATCTAAATTTCTTCATTAGGTCATTACATAATTATATGTACGGAGTAACTCTAAAAAATAATGTATTAGTGAACCATAAGATAAGGTGTTATTCGGCAGAATAAATTTGTCGGTCCATGTAGTTAGGTAGCTATACAGATTAGATGAGAAAGAAGAATGACCGACTGCAGCTAGAGAGTTCACTTGGCAAATATACGTACAGAAAAATATGTTGAAATATGGATTTATTCACGTTTAAGGAGAAAATTGAGTGACTGTAACATCGCAGAGGGCGCCTTGGTAACAGGAAGAGATCTATGTCACAGCACCTTGGTTCATGGAGATTAAAATTCAGCTGGATCTACTCTAAGAGCATTAAGGAAAACACAGGATCTAACACTAGCTTCTTCAGCAAACAGCTGTATGTGATCGAATTGTTCTTACAATTAAAATTTTATAGAAGTATCTTTTGTTTCTTTAAAGATTAAATACTCTCTATAAACAGACGAAATATTGTGTATAAAGGCATTGTTTCCTAATGGCTCAAATTGTACTTTCAAGCCGAGGTTATTTTGCTGCATTGAGCATGAAAAACCTCCTCTTGTGCAAATTAAGAACTGATCTAAGATTCATCATCGAAAAATAAAACTTTCGCAGATTTAAATGAAAGACAAACAAAGAAATTTTACTGAGATCGGCAGACATTGAAGAGGCCAGCTACTTAATAACAGTTCATAGGAGACCCTACCACTATTCAAAAATAAAAGTTTACAAAGTCTACTGAGCTCATAAGTAAACTGAGGAGGGCTACGGTTAATTTTAATTAAGAATTGTAGAGTTAGAGTTCTGGTTGAAATACTTCTATAAATCGGAAGGACCTACAGAAAAGCAATCTTCTCGTGAAAAATACGTAGTCACGTGTCAGTCGAGCTCTTGGAAGCACTGACATGCGTGACAAATTCAGGAAAAAGAGGGGAAAATTATGACCATTTCGCTTGATTTATTCCATCGAGCCATAAGGTCTCAATAGACGTCAAGGCTAACCGTAAAAAGGTCAAAACCTAGTCATTAGAATTCAGATTTCAGAAATCTGGGTAATCTGTAACTCCTAAAAAAGTTTACCGTAAAAATGTTTTCGCAACGTAATGTCATGTTGACAGTGCTAAGAGTACGCTTGCTGGGAAATTTTGCGTCTTGTTTCGTAAATGCAGCAGCTACCACTGCTACAAATTCTGCCCTGGTCCCGGCAAGAGTCTGTTTTTCGTAGGACAAGTTGCAATTGGTAGACAGCTTGACAGATCTTTGTTTATCAAAACTAGGCTTTCTTTTACTTACCTCATCAAGCAAGTGATGGGCGGGTTCAAAAGTGCCCTGCAACCAGTCGCTTCGATTTTTCCACTAGAGTACGTACTATTATGACGTAGACTACTTGCACGAAGTCCTTGTTCCTTGTTTTACTAGATTTTAAACAGGAAACGGCGAAACAACTGAATATGCTGTGTTGTATACATTGAATTTCTACGCGTGTAGCGATATAAGATATAATATACAATGATGGCCCTTTAGCCAATGAATTAGAAAACTATGCATTACCTACCGATCCAGTTTGTAACTATATGAAATACATCAAGCATGCCGGGAGAGTGTTTCATCGCATTTCCAAACACATAAGAAAGGAGAGAATAGAATACGGAGAGCCGGCGTATTCTAGTTTTTCGCGTAAGCATGAAAAAAGCTCGGGCGAACCTGTATGGTAGAGAGCAGCCCAATTTTCGGTCAATCCAGTGCAAATTTGAAATTGGACCCGGGAATTGAATTCAGTGTAATTTCAGTGGCGCTCTCGTCAAAAAAGGCCTCGATTACAAACAAGTGAGAAAATGTTTGTTGGATCCCAAAGGTCAGGCGAAAAGGTGAATCCTGAAGCAATCCAAATAGAACTCGGATAATCAAATTAGAAATGAACAAGGGGTATTGAGAAATTGTTTAATTTTAAATTAATTTTAAAGGTTTTCAGTTTTTAACTGTAACAGAAAGAAATCCATCTGATAAAATAAAACTGTCTTGAAGGAATCTTCGCAAAAGTAATCAGACTTTGTGCTATACATAAAGAGGTAAAGAGCTGTAAAAGCTAAAAAAAATTGTTGCAACGAATCAAATTAGTTAGCTGATTGGTTTACTAGTATAGTATTGACAGCTTGTCGTATCTGTTGTTTGTTATTGTTTCGCACTAACAAGTCAAGATATCTTTGAGATCCTGTTAAGATCGCTTTATTTAAAGCATCGTTTCTTCCGGGGGTTGCTGCCTGTGGGTTTACTCACGATCGTTAAGATTTATCGCTATTTTCCAAGGGTCAGTTCTTTCGGGAGTTCGTTAATTTCGCAACTTTACCACGACTCAAATCTCACTGTAATCTGAAGCTGGAACTGATAGCGGACTATTGTTGACCAAAATCGCATGGCTACGCTATGCACAAAATATCAATCGATTTCTTAACTTCCAGATGAATGATGCGATTGGCGGAAAATCTGTACAAATGGCCTTTACATGGTTAAACAACATACAAAAAGTATCAAGGAGAGTAGAATCTTTGGCAATGGCCAGTTGGCTATTTTTCAGCTTTCTAATTGAATACTGTACGTGTATAAACGAAGGTGAAGACAGCTTGCAGACCTTCACCGAAATTAAAAATATCTGAGGTTACGTCAGGCTTTAAATATTAATTATCTTCACTATTTCGTAATAACACCTGGTTGGTTTGAACACGTGAATTTCTCCGACCCGCGTGAGTCTTCAAGCGTTGCCTTTTATGTAAGTATATGTTTTTGTGAAGGCCTTTTCACAATGTTTCTTGAAAAAAATTCCCATTTCTTGGGGCTTTGAAGCTTTGAATTAAGTCTCTTAAAGATACTGATTTTAAAACGCCCCTCTGATCTTAGCTAACACTCAGCAAAAAATGTAAAACAGAACGCAGGTGTTAAAAAATAAAACAAGATAAGCAGTACGCTTTATGCAGATTTTAATCCCAGAATCAGACCTATTTACAAACGACTATTTCATAAGATTGAAAGCATATCAAAGATCCTTGAGCATTCAATTTATGGAGGACGTGATGATTTAGAAAGTTCACTTGTGAATAAAGCTATTAGGAGAATATTTACAATCAAATCCTGGATTGCCGTGTGTCTCTGCACGGTCAAACTAAAAAAAGAAATGTCATTTGAAGTCCTTTTTCCGGCTCCTTTGTTTTAACTTCTAACTCACGTTTTCTAAAAATTGAGCCTGTTATATAACATAATGTAAAATAATCTTAAAATTGAGCCTCTTATAAAACACAATGTGAAATAAGAAACATCATGGTGCAAAATTTAAAGAGGGCTGTTTGTCTGCCCTGGAAAGGGGGGAGAGGTGACAGGGGTTAAAACTCAGCCTCGAAAGTAGATCAAACATGGTGACTGCGAAGAAAGGCGGGTAAAAGAACAAAGAAGACGCCCGTGATCAAAGTTGGACTCAAATTTAATTCTGAAACTGACAACTAATCCTATCAACTGTTTTATAATAATGTCAGTAGAACTGAGATTAGTCGAGTTCGGTCTGTGATCATACGAGCGATTATCGATTAAAGTCGGACGACCGAATAACGGCAGTCCGCACGAGTGTGTCAGTTACAGAGAGAACAACCAGAGGACGGTTAGTCCTGTTGCCAGCTAATCCAAAGGAATTACCACAAACCATTGTTAAACGTGTTGACAAATCAAATCACAAAAGGAGTTTGTCTTTGAGCCAGATACTGACGAGAAAAAGAAGCTTTTCGAGTACAACCGCCTAAAAAAAACAGCGCACGCAAAATTTCGAGTACTCTTCAATTACGATAGCCAATCAGATTCAAGGAATTGTGTAATAGTTTAATCAATTTCTTTAATGGTCTAGAATCCCCCACAGACATGAATTCGTAATAACACACTTTTTTGCTCTGTCGCGAGGTATTTCCGTCTCCACGTGAGCGTTTAAAAAATATATCTACCCACCTGCAAATAAGTGAAAGCCTTCTAATAAATGTTTTTTCAGTACAATAATAACTTTAGGCTCTCCAGACAAAATAAGTTGAGGTTTCACAACGTTTTACTTAACTTCTACACCACAATAACATTTTCTACTGAATATTAAAATATTGAGTGAAGTAAGTGAAAATCCTAAAGAGAGACTGGTATCAGAAATTACTACCGAGTTAGTCACAGTATCCAGGACCAGAAGATTTTCAAATTCAGTTTTAAAATCAGGCAACCTTCAGTGGATTTTAACCAATTAAAATATTGAACTTTGAGTGTAAACTTTCCAGTTATTTTTTTGATTTTAACTATCGCATACCTGTGTTTGGACTGGCAAAAAATATCAATGATTGTTACCCATGTGGTTTTCGCCTTGCTTTTGAATGCTGAACTCACGTGTTGCAACGTATGTCAGTCATGGACACTTGTTGCATAACACATGCAGAATGATCAGAAAACAACGCACGTCAGATAAGTTATTTTGAACTGTTTGCTTGTATGCGTTTGTCGTGCCCCCTTACACGTTAAACTGCGTGAAAGGCTTTCAACAATGTTTCTAAATATAACTAAACAAATCAAGTTTACTTTCCATAATGCACCACCCCGGGATGTGTTTATTCACTGTAAGAGGCAACTTTAAATATCTTTTGTCAGGGTTTTTTAAATGTTATTTTCATCGTTTGAAATCAGTTGTGCGGCTGGAAATTAGATTAAACGAAATATGCTTTCCTTTATTTTTCCAGAAAGTCGATCTCACGTTTTTACGACGCGTGAGAGCTATTTGTAAAATGCTTGTTTGATAACATTGTATAAACAATGTGCAAAAAGCAAAGTCACGTTATCTTTAATAACATACGTTTTATGGTTCAAGTTGGAATAGTACGTGATCTTACAACATTAGCAGGATCAACAGTGTCCCCAATTCATAGGATCAATAGTGTCCCCTATTAGTTTTTTTTTAGGCTAAATAAGCTTACCATTGACACTGAAATAAAGTATTTCATTCATTTATTTATTCATTCAACATGCATTATCCCTTCATGTTATATAACAAAAAAGAAACTCACGTGTAATTTTACACCTGCCCAGCTTCCGTTGTTAACTGATGCAAAGAGGATAAAAAGAAACCAAGAACACTGCAATCTTCACATTAGACTTGCGACTAAAGCAGCAAACTAACATGAAGAAGGGAAGCCGAGAGAAAGCAAGAACAGCAGTCCAACATTCACAAATCCTGCACTAAGTTAACACATCTTCCAGATATTTTGACATTTTTCGAGAAATGTTTCAATCCACCAAAGCTGAAGCCAGAACAGCTTTATTTCAAGACAGTCAAGAAAACAAGCGTAAGAGAGTCCGTCAGATATGCGATGAGTTTCTATCAGTAGACAAGACGTCGCTCCAAGATGGCAGTCAGCACCGAACGTGCGAGAGAAAGTCTTGGCCGATTGCATACATGTATGAAGGCGGAAATTTTGTTAAGCGAGAAGACTTGAAACTCTTAGTGCCCTTCTCATTATACACTAAAAATAGCACGGATTGCAGTTCCTCCTCCGAGAGAAAGTACTACACTGAAGAAATTGCAGCCTTCGAGAGCGCAGCTCAAGCTTTATCCAACATGGACAACAAAGAAAACAATTTCCAAGTAACACTCCCTAACCATCAACAGGCACAAGAGGAGCTAAGAGGCGAACCTAAAGTAAAGAAGAGAAAAGAAGATTCTTCGGCAGATGAAGATGCAAATAATGAACCAACAGACAGAGAGAGCTACTGGGAGCGAAGGAAAAAGAATAACGCTTCGGCGAAAAAGTCGAGAGATGCGAGAAAAGCCCGAGAACAGGAAATACAGATCAAAGCAGCTTTCCTTGAGAGGGAAAACCTGAGGATACTTACACAGCTTATGATGGTCCAACGGGAAAATGAGTGTTTAAAACGAGTTTTATGCTCAAAATATGAAACACCTTTATGACAGTTAACCTGATCATTTTGTCTTTATACTCGGTAGCCGGTCGTTTCGGCTACAAGTCGTTTCGTATAGAAGTCGATTCGCCTACACTAAATGCTTATTACTAAATACTAAATACTTACCTAAAAATTCTGAAAATTGACAAACAGGCCGTACAATAATTATAGTAATGTTTTTTGGGAGAGTATTCCACAGCGACGGTGCGGCTATGCTGAACGTTCTGTCTCAACAAACGAGCTACTAAACTTGAAGATCACCAACGGGAACTCGTCATGTACCAAAAGAACAGAGAATTAAAATTCACCTTTAACTTGAAATGATATATGTGTGTGTAAGAAAAAATTCTTCTGGACAGGGAGCAGACGATCGGTATGTTGTCGATTCAAGTAACTGTACGTGATCAAACTGTGTGGAATCCCGATTTCTCGAACCCTTCGATAACTCGAACCAAAAGTCGTTTCCCCTCCTCAGTTGAGCATTGTAATTTTACTCCCGTTTCTCGAAATCTATGATTTTTCGAACCAATTTTCCTTTCCCCTTGCGGTTCGAAAAATCGGGATTACACTTTACATGCATCGTGTTACGCGTCTGTCTGATTCGCGCTACAATTTTACGGTGAATTTAACTAGAAATACGGTCAAATACAACTCCTCTGCTTCCCGTGGGCAGTGATTTTCATCTATCTTCGCATATATTTTCGACTTAAGTGTAGGCGAAACGACTCAGTTAATGTAGGCGAATCGACTCAGATCGTGTTGGCGAAGCGACTTCGATGTAGGCGAATCGACTTGCAGGCGAAACGACTGACATCCTTATACACAGTTTATAGTTATAAAAAGTGCATGTTTTAGCGTTTGGAAAGCCTTTGCCTTTTGTAGATCGTCTCAGTAGAGGAAACCAATGTTGTTAAAGATCAGTTTTGTTTTTATGTAACCATATGAACTTCCGATCGGTGTAAGCCGGTATCTTTGGCTTAGTACCAAAGATACGAGTTGATAATCTTTTTATCGTAATAATTGTCTTTTAATGTAATCAACACATTGAGATTGTAATAAAACCCTTACGTTTTCTTTGGAAAAACAAAACCTTCCAGTTTGAACAGTTTTGCACTTTATCTTCAGATATTCGTTATTCCGTTCAACTCTGAATGATAACTGGATGGCTTCGGCATTAAACCCAAATTATGCTGCACAGAATAAACCCGTAAAAAATACAGTACCCTTTTTAAAGCTTCAGTGCAGCTATGTCATAATTTTAAGCAAAAATAGACCATTACTTTTACTTTTTATATGAACCGTACTGCCCACCGCGCCACTGACCTTAGAAAGTCCTGTATGAGTGCTGTACGCGAGGAAGAGATCCGAAAAAACGAGTGCGACCCAACTAGAAAAGCGTACGGAGCCCCAAATTCGACGCAAGTTAAAATTAGCGACAGAAAGAGTTTAGTTTCTGAAGATTATAATTTTTCTAAAATGAGTGTTGAAGGTAAACATTCTAGCCGGAATTTTTACTATTTGGCCGGAACTATCCGATACAGGACTTCTTCACTTGTCAGCTTACCCCGAAAGCACAGAAAGAAAGTCGACACTTCTCACAATTGTAGAGCAAACTCGAAATAGGATTAAAATAGATGTGGATTGATCGGACAAAGATTGCTCCCGGAGAAAAAAATGTTTTGACCTCAAAAATTTGCAGACATGGTCTTAAATACTCTTTTTCTTTGGCCATCGTAGCTTCATAAGAATTCACCGCAGTTTGCGTGTTATTTCTTATTAAGACACGGTTTTGTTGTTAACTAGCTACTGTCCGTATTGACGTATTGATAATTAGTTATATCTCACTTCACTATTCTTATAATCAATGCTCTTTTTAGTTTCACCTCAGAATTATCCCTGGATGTCAAGGATAATTGTTCAAATGTGTTTTTTTTCCTGGGAAAACTTCTCAGTCTAGGCCACTGACTCGGCTTGGGGAATGAGCCCACGCTCACATCTCGAAAGAGCTGCAGGAATACCGCCAAAAAAGCGGCACGGTTGCTAAGCAGTAAATATGGCGGCTTCAATGATTGTCTTGCGGTGTTCAAACTGTCAGCAGTTCAAGGTGAGTTATCGAAATCTGCTGAATTATGTCTGAATTTCAGTTGTTATAATGATCGAAATAATTTCTTTAATTTTCCATATTTGCCAGGCAATGTTGATCGTTCTGCCCCTTGTAGATAGTGTCTAAAAATTCTAAGCCAACAAATTCGTCGTTTCGCAAAACCTTCATCAATCTCTGTAGAAATGCATAAGCTTATTAAAATACTGGAAAAACCGTCTGTGGAGAAGGCTGTCGAATGGCTTGATCGTTGAAGCAGTTCCTGAAGAATTGCTTATATGTGGGCATAAGCTTGCTACTTTAATTTCTTTTGCTTTTTATGTATCAATCTTGTTGACTTACACTTGTACATGGTGTACTTATCTGATATCAGCACGCAATGTGTGTACAACATTGCACTAGAAAGTTAATCAGAAGCTACATGACAAACAAAAGTTTCTTAATAGAACCAAAGTCAATCAATCAGAAATATGTTTAGTTTGTTTTTCAAGATGGACCTAAAGTCAAATAAGTAATGCCAGGTCCCACCATTTATTGCAGGACGTCCCATAGATAGTCTGTATGGTTTACCCCAGAACCCATTTTAAAATACAGACATTACTTTTCTTTGGATATCATTATTTTGTTAAGAAATTGTTTCTTTATTTATGAGGATCTCCCAGGGGTTTTCTGGAACAAGAAAACATGGTAATGTATTATTTCAAGGGAATGAGGGATATTAATTTTTTTGAGTAACACTTAACTACATTAACAGGTCACGTGAATCTCTCCTTTCATCCCTTGCAATGCTTGACGATTTCAGCAAAGTCTCTGGCCTCAGACTCAATGATAAGAAAACGGAAGCTCTATGGA